CATTAAAGCGCGTTTAGTTTAAAGATTTCGAGATTAATTTGAAAGAGTTAAAAGTAACCTAATACCTACTTTATAATTCATTGTTTATTTTTTACAATATTGTTTCTTTTTTAATTAATTAAAGTTTTGTCCCGTCCAAGTTTGCTTTCATAATAAACGTAACTGTGGAACGGTTTAAGGAACGTGTATAGGGGTTATAAAATCGCTATCGAGCGTAATAAAAAGAGCGGGAAACAAAAGAGGTTAAACGACACTTCACTATTCTTTTCGTTTTGAAAATATATTGCCTTCTCGAACAATAAACTGGTTTCACACCGTTCCATTCGGTATCCATGAATAGTCCAATGGATGCGGTTCCCTGGGATTTACCGGCTACTAAATAACGAGGCCAATAATGGGCATAATAATGATAGCGGCGATGAGATTATCGAAATTGGAAAGACGCCAAAAGGCCTATGATGTTTCTATCTCGCTCGCTGCTACGGTTTTTTATCCTCATTCGCAAACGCGTAATATTTGCGAAAGAAATATGACCGTCATATCGCATTTTTCGTTTGTCTCACTCTTCTACTTTTTCTAACTCGATTCTTGGCTGTATCAAATGTTAAAACAGTTTATTCTTAAATTGCTAAAATTTATATATTGTAATTAATATTTAACGTCATATTTTACTATATGTAATATAGAAAATTTGCTAATATCAATTACAAATAAAAATCATAAAAATTCCTAAAATTTCTAAAATTCTTAAAATTATGAAAAAAAGACAAGGTTGCGAAACTTTTTTGTCGATTATGCTCACTTATAAATTGACCCTTCTATTCAGTAAAAATTTTCAAAAATTGATTAGCATATATAATTGATTAGTATTCTCTAATTTTTCTCTAAAGAAAAATTTAGAGTATTCTCTAAAAAATAATCTAATTTTTAAAACGTTTATTATCTTCTAAGGTAAATTTTAATTTCGGTACAATATTCTATGTATATGTATACAAGACATAATGATCTTAATTACCCATTCAAAGCTTTGTGCACGAGTATAAATGAAAACTCACTGATTGAATGCCTAGAATGTGTTAATGAGTTGGCATATACATAGATGACGATCTGGGTTTCAGATCTTTGTCAAAGCAATGTTAGTAAAGACCATTCAAATGTAATGTCATTAAGCAATCTCGAAGGCGAGTTACCAAAATCTATTTACACATCAGTACTCGCTTGAACCGTCGAATTGATAAGGCGTGTTTACGCCAAGTGATCAACTGACAGTGTGTTCATGCCTTTGCTCTACCTAATTTACATGTGAGATTAGGTAAACTTGTCATTCAGCGAGTCTAACCATCCAAATGGCACAAACGGAATACGTTCATATAAACGAAAACAATAAATCCTCACCATAAGATTCACTCTTATTCTATAGAGAAAATTCAACATAAATTCTTACGATTTGGTTCCTACAGAATTAGCCTATTGGATAGGAACAGAAATTTCCTATTCCTAAAACTTGCCATAATTACTGTGCAGAGATGAGAAGATGACGAGCGGAAGGAATGCGACTATAATTGGTTGTATCTTGTAAGTCACACCCCTCGCACACGAAATCCAAATGGTCGCGCGTTATTGGCCGATGCGTTCGCCTATTAATCGCGTCGCCTGACAGAGGAGGAAAATGATACTTCGCGATAGAGTGAGATGGTACATCAGCGTTGCGATGGGCTTTAACCCTTTGCGGTCGGCAGATTTTTCTGCTGGGAGTAGCAACTAGTGGGGGCAAATTTTGGAGTCATTTTTTCCTAATTGATTTAAGACAAATATATGGGTATTAAAAAACACAGTAATTTCTTAGCGGTAAAAGGGTTAAACGTGGGGACAAGGCGCTCCCTTTATCTCTGAGCCATCTCGCTGATCATCTTCTCATTTCTGCACGGTACGATGCACTTTTATCAAATCTGGGGATATTCACTCCCGAAAACGTAGAATCTTATCTGACTTAATGTTCTCCTTCAAAATTATAAATAGGTATATTGACTCCCCTGATATTCTCGAACTTATGAATTTTAATATTCCACCTAGGACACTTAGGAAATTTTCGTTATTCTGCACTGGAAATAATTGTATCGACCGTATCTGTAAGCAGGTCAATTCATTCGTTTATCTACTGTCCTTTAAAAACCAAGAGAAAACTGTAGCAGACAGAATGTCACCGCTACACTCCGCATGTTAATTAATTTTATCGTTTAAGATAACGGATATTTTATGTATTTGTATATCTCAATTTTCTTTTATATTGTACTGTATCGAAGGATGCTATCTCCCGTAAATAAATTGAAATTGAAATTTAAATCATTTGAAAATAACAGTATAAAAACTGGGGGAAAGATTTAATGAAAATTGACTGACTCTGTTTATTGGAAATTTACTGCAGATAAGAAACGTCAAACTAGTCCGTTTAATAATTGATTTATAAGCGACTATGAATATAAATACAATAATATAAGCAACAGACAGATATACCGCTTGGAAATTCATTCGGTATATCATAGGAAATTATCGAGAAATCTTCGGGAAACGTTACAGTGGAAACCGCTCAACCAAAATCATCGGTAATACATATCGATGATCGAATTATTAAGCTCTATCGGAACTTCTAAAGGTAACAATAGATAACAATTTCACGTTAAAATGACTAGAAATAATTATGTGGAAATTTAAATCAATATATAACAAAATAATGGTAATTTGGAAAAAGAGAAATGTTGATGTTTATAATGTATCAATAAAAAAAAGAGGCAAATTACAAAAAAGGGCTAACGAAGGGTTTTTAGGTGTCCGCCTCCGATTGTTTTGATTTTTGGATATGTTTTAAGGGACCGAAAAATAAGGTATGGGTGTTTTTTTATTTTGGCCTGTTTTCATATTTAGGGGGTGAAACGACCCCCTAAAGTTTCGACTACAATATGCTTATCTCGATAACTATCATAGATAGAAGAAAAGTTTTGTAAGGAAAACTTTCATGGTTTTTTATGAACATATAACATTATTTTAAGTAATTGCAATTTACATAATAAGAAAATGAACATAAATTTAATCTAAAAATCATCGATGACCATCAAAAGACCTTGAAAACGATAACTATCGGAAATTTTGTTCATATCCCCATATTTGTCTCCTGAAACAGTACAACTTTTTTCTCTAACATTCTCTTCTATCTTTAAACCGAACGGAGATAATTATGTGTTCTGTTTTTCTTTTATATTTCGCATATCATTACATAATGCGTCGCGCACATACGCCGGGGTCATGGTCACTATCTTTCTCGCAACGATTTTTTCTCGCAAAGAATATAATATATGACCGGCTTTTTATTTATTTCTTTCTCTTGTTTTTATCACCCTACAATCTATATATCAGATGACCAAGGAATTATCTCATATGACTCAAAATCGATGTTAACGTCATGAAACAGTATGAGTGAATTAATCATATGTATATAGTTCTTCAAACCATAGCTCTTGCACCTTGCACTTGGGAAGTTCTGCCATTCATGCACGAGTCACTTGATATTTTTGTACGCTTAGCAATAGCAGTTTATCATAGCATGTGTTATATTTTGCGAATCTTTGCTACTTATACCTCGACAATTGGTTAATTCTTTAATTAAATCCGAGCGTTCAACGTGATCAATTGATTGAAGTGGACACTGTGAACAAGATGTACATAAAGCGAAACCAATGGGTAAAGAAATCATAATTAAGACGATACCAAAAGATACACTGGACGAATCCAACCTCTATATGTTTATGGATTTAGGGTGTGAAAGAATTATGCTAGGCATCCCTCCGATGATGTGCTATTACATGATTACGATGTTAATCTTCATTTAAGAAATAATGTAATTAAGTTACAATTATTTGTACACAATCAACTGTCTTCACCAAGATATAAAAATCTATTCCAGTATCCTTGGTACAAAAATGGGTACACAGAAAAAAAATCAGGAGATTTTGTGAATCTTGTAGATTTTGCTTTCGAACGGAACACACAAATGAAATCTGCACTCTGTGATGAACAACAGATAGTTAGATGCTCTTGGTGTAAAAAAACATTTTGTTTAAAATATGTTTTTCATGAATATCATTTCTGCGACAAATATGAATATTAAGTGAATCATTTTGTATTATAAAAAATTAAGATTATAAATTTATACCACATACACTTGAAATATAATTGCACTAATCATGTTACTAATTTACATTTATTGTATTCCTTACCATCTGTATCGCATATTACGTAGGTACTAAAGTAACCTTCATTGATATTATAAACTATAAATAATTTGACTGATGCCTAATATACATGGTAAATGGCAGATATCGTAATGGATAATACTTGTACTTCCATATCTGGCATGATCGTGACCCGGCGTATGCATATGCATAATATCATGCAGAAAAAAATATATGTTCTTTTTTGTTATTATGTAAATTGTGATTAATTTTAAAATAATGTTATGAACAAATTATTTTTTTCAAAATTTATGACCACCTGTTATATGTTCATAAGAAACCATAAAACTTTTCCATAAAAAGTTTTCTTCTATCTATGATCATTTTCGAGATAGTCTATTGTAGCCGAAACTTTAGGGTCTCGTTTCACCCCCTAAATATGAAAACAGACTAAAATAAAAAACACTTTTACCTTATTTTTCGGTCCTTTAAAATATATCCAAAAATCAAAAGAATCGGAGGCGAACACCTAAAAACTCTTCCTTGTTAGTACAAAATAATGAAACCTGAGGTCGTACACTGACGGTGAGTTGCGTTGATTCTGTTGCGGCGTGTGACACTAACACATATTCGATGACTGCAGCCAATCGACTGCCGGCGTAAATATGTGTTAGGGTCACACGCCCTGACAGAATAAACGTAACTCAACATACACAATGATACTGATATAACACGAATTTTTAATGTATCGTTCTTTTATATAAATACGATTCGTTTATACCTGAAAGCGGCACACGACGCGTACCTAAGCTTCAATCGTAACGTATAGGACCGATAGTGAATTTTATAGTTGAACAGGTGTCCGTATTTTTGAAGCGTCAAACGCTCTACGAAAATTCTGTTAGAATCAGTTGTACCTGGTCTTTTGTTCTGATAGAGCGAAAAGAAAAGTCGTCGAAGATGGATTGGGCGGAAACGTTTGATTATTACTGGTATCAAAAGGCCGGTGAGTAGTTCTCTCCGTAAAATGAAGAATTATTGGTTGGATTGATCTCGACTATTTTATCGGATAAATGAAGGTCGGAGAAGACGATAGAAAGTGTCCCGAGGTCGATATCACGTGGCGGTACAAAGTTATGGCCATTTTAAAAAATCCCAATTTTTCAAAATTTTTCCGATAATTTCGAAGCCAAAAAATAACCTAACCTAACCTAACCCAACCCAACTTATCAGCTAGAATAGCTAGCCTTTGAATTAGCTTAGTGGGAGGGTGGGCATAGGTAGGGTTAGGGTAGGTTAGCTTAGTTTAGTTAAGGTTAAGTTATTTTTTGGACTCGAAATTATCAGAAAATTTTTGTAAAATTGTGATTTTTTAAAATGGCCATAACTTTGTAACGTCACGTGATATCGACCTCGGGACACTTCCTATCGTCTTCTACGACCTTGATTTATCCGATAAAATAGTCGAGATCAATTACCCGGGCAACTGCAATATGACCGAATTTTTTATCACCGAGAACAATTAATGAAGAGAATCGTTATCGTAATTTCAGATCCCAGAGCTAGCCAATTACCGCTTCTGGAATCCCCGATTATCATTCCCGCTATCCTCTTTTTTTATTTATACTTCGTCCTAAAATGTGGGCCAAAGTTTATGAAGGACAGAACACCGTACGATCTTAAAACCTTTATAATGTGGTACAACATCTTTCAAATCACCAGTAATGCAATCATAGTGCAACAGTTTATCAGTGCAGGTTGGTTCACGGAAATGACAGTATTTTGCGAACCAGCAGATTACTCTAATAGCCCGAAGAGCATGAAGGTATTTAAAATTCAAAATTCCCGTTCAATTGTTAACACGCTGAGTCCAGGAAGGTTTAAAAGTTGGAATTTGAACAATCTTTCAGGTGATTCATACACTATGGTTGGGGTTACTAACCAAAATCGTCGACCTCCTCGAAACGGGAGTGTTTGTACTAAGAAAAAAGGACAGACAAGTTTCGTTGTTACACCTGTACCATCACGTATCGACAGCGTTAATATGTTGGATTATAACGAGATACACCCCAGTCGCAGAAATATCGTTCCCTCTGCTAGTGAACTGTGCCGAACATGTGATCATGTACTCGTATTATTTATTGATTTCGTTTGGAGAAAAATGGCGAAGGATACTTGGTCCAATCAAACCATTGATAACTATCTTACAAATGGCGAGTACTAATAAACTAATTAAAGTAAGGTTCGAAAGATTTTTGACTTCAATGTCACAGTAGAAATATCAACGTACAGTCAGACGCATGATAATTTATTATTTCAAGAAGATACCAGAAACTTTTGAACCTTACCACATATATTTGTGACGTTTAATTTATTTACATGTTCATTCTTTGTCGCAGGTGCAATTCATCGCCATGATAGTATACTTACTACAACCATTTATGCCACACTGTAATGGTCTTAAGACACCGTCGGCTGTATTAATACTGAATTATGTTATAAATTTTGTTCTGTTTTACAGTTTCTTTCAAAGGACGTATACGAAGCCCGCTAAGAAAGTGGAGTGAATCGAACTCAAGTCACTCGTCAATCATTGTGGTAGCGAGTTTGAATTAAAATCAATAAAATATTCCATCGAACATTTTACTGATAATATCATACCTACAGATATTACTTAGCTTTAAATAATAGTTTGCAATTAAACACGTTTTACTGCTATAATAAAAGTAACCACGACTAGTGCGAGATTGCAAATAGTAATTAATATATTAATGAATAATAGTGATTGTATTTCGTGCCTCTTCTTCGAGATCAGCACGTAGTATCCATGTCTGTGAATTTGGCATATCATTTTCCAGCAGATCAAAAATTAAAGGGAGTTCTTTTCGCATGCAGTCGAGTTCTATAGTTCCTGATAGTTTTTATTGATAGTTCTGCTGATTTTATCCAAACTCTTCCCTTGATACCTACGTTGTGCCAATGCATTTGTTCACGACCACGACCGAAGCCGTGTGAAGTTGGCCCCCCAATATTAAAATTTTTTAAATCTTCTTTTTGCAAACGTTTGCCCATCGTTTGCCCATTAATGCCCCGTTGGAATTTTCGTTTGCCCCTTTTTAGTTTAAAAGTTACAAGCAATTCAATTTTGAGGGGGCCCACTTCACGTTGACCCCCCACTATTAAAATTTTTTAAATCTTCTTTTTGCAAACGTTTGCCCATCGTTTGCCCATTAATGCCCCGTTGGAATTTTCGTTTGCCCCTTTTTAGTTTAAAAGTTACAAGCAATTCAATTTTGGGGGGGCCCACTTCACGTTGACCCCCCACTATTAAAATTTTTTAAATCTTCTTTTTGCAAACGTTTGCCCATCGTTTGCCCATTAATGCCCCGTTGGAATTTTCGTTTGCCCCTTTTTAGTTTAAAAGTTACAAGCAATTCAATTTTGGAGGGGCCCACTTCACGTTGACCCCCCACTATTAAAATTTTTTAAATCTTCTTTTTGCAAACGTTTGCCCATCGTTTGCCCATTAATGCCCCGTTGGAATTTTCGTTTGCCCCTTTTTAGTTTAAAAGTTACAAGCAATTCAATTTTGGAGGGGCCCACTTCACGTTGACCCCCCACTATTAAAATTTTTTAAATCTTCTTTTTGCAAACGTTTGCACATCGTTTGCCCATTAATGCCCCGTTGGAATTTTCGTTTGCTCCCTTTTAGTTTAAAAGTTACAAGTAATTCAATTTTGGAAAATTCAAAATCTTCTTTTTGGAAACATTTGACCACGAATACCCCATTTGAATTTTCTCCCTCCAGTTGAAAGAATCATACGCAATTAAATTTAAATAAGATATTATATTCACTCTCGTTTATGAGTTCTCCCACCATCTTACAACCAGCGCGACTTACTTATGCTCTCTCGTGGGACCCGCTATAGACGCATATGCCTTAATGCGCATGTCTCTTCCATATCCCCTCCATACGCTTTAAGCGCGTGCTGTTGCATTTGCAATCTGGCACCGCCGCACTCGATTGTTTTACAGCGTATCATTTTTACATAACTTACGTTTTAGAGACATTCGTCTTCTAACGGAGCTCTCTGAACAAACCGCATAACTGAGTTAGTTATATAACAAACTTCTTTTTTCTTCCCATATGTCTTGCAATAATAAAATAGGTTCTTTGACATTATAAAAGCAAATTTATTTTAACTAGTTGTCTTTGCTATTTGATTTTATGATTTGTTTATCTAAGTTAAGCAACAATTGCTTTTGATTTCTTGTATTTAAAAATGCCACGAGCAGCCGCTGTTTCCACAAACGAGATTATTGATGCTCTCGCAAAAGCTGATATTTTTCAAGACACAAAAGGGACACTTAAGCCGCGCTCCAGCAAAGTTTGGAATGATCTTTGCGCATTATTGGAAAATAAAATTAAACGTGATACTTTATTTTTGCATGTACAAAAGGACAGAAATGGCGTACTAAATAAAATAAAACAACAAATGAATATAACAGATGTAAATGAAATAAGTGTAAATAGATCGAAAGATGATTCAGATGATCGATCTACTGAAAGTACAAGTAGCAGTGTTAGCGGCATCTGCAAAGATAATTATAATTGTCCAAATTTATTATTTGACTTAGATATAGATGATGCTTCATGGAATAGTATTGCGCCAGTTTCTGTTATTTACAAGGATAAAGGTCGATATAGCAACAAGCGTCGTTATACCGTATTAAAACAGGGTTGGACGGATGTTATACAGAAAGCTTCCTGGGAAAAAAGTAAATTACCTTGCGCATATTCTTTTAAGAGAGCAAAGATTTTTGATTGTGAAAATCGAGTATATCTAGAAATAATTGGCAAATGCAAAGAATGCGGTGCAACCTTTAAAGGACATTGTTTAAAAAAGCCCATTCCTGGTCACGGTATTAAAATTTCTGTGAAAACGGCAGATACTCGAGGAATTCCCCACGTTAGCAAACGTATGCTTATAGGATTAGAAAGACAAAAAGTTGGAGAAGAATTGCTTTCTGAATTTTTTCATTTAGTAACTGACTATGCACTAAATACAGCGACAAGCAAATGGTACATTAAAAGAGCACTTTGCTTTTCTAAAGCTCTTGATAAACCTCTGACAAACACGCTGGATTGTTCATATAATATATCGAATTTAATTTTAAAGTTATTACATGCTGTACCAAGTACAATTAATGAGTTCAACTGTAAAAAATGTAAAATTAGTTCCAAAATTATTAAACCAGTGCTGCAAATAGAATCACAGCCAATATTAACTGAAGGATTAAAAATCGGTTTAGAGAAAAGTCTTAATAAATATTTTTCAAAAACAAACAAGAAAATTTATTGTGATTCCTGCAAGAGATACGGATATGAATCTAGAGAGCCGGGCCCACATCTGTTAATTGATACAGAACATCCTTTTATCAGTATGCTTCAAATAGATCTCGGATTTTCATCCGAAATACCTCTATCTGAAATACCACACTCCATTATGATAAAAAATGTTAAATATGTTTTAATAGGTATCATACATTTTATTCCACCTGAAATTGAAAACGGCATTGGTCATTATACTGCGTTTTGCAAAACAGTAACTGGATCATGGAAAGAACATAATGATCTAAAATTTAAAGCAGATATAATTCCAAATGGATCCCTATCAAACACACTAGTTCGACCGGCAATTATAGGGTATGTTAAAGTATCAAATTAAAATGAAAGATACTTAATAATCTCACACTAAATATGTAAGTCTAATAAATAAAAAATTTAAAACAGAATAATAAAAATAATAAAAAAATAAAAAAATGAATAAATACATAAACACACACAACACATAAACACCTATTCCTACACACCTACACACATACGCACACACAAACACAAGAGGTGTAAATCCGACCGAGCAACATCCACGTTGTACACCTTGGGTAAAGCTAATGCCGGCGGTATTATACATTTTAACAACTTGTGCCATACAAAAATGTTATTTTAAACGAATAAACGAGAGTGAATATAATATCTTACTTAAATGTAATTACGTATGATTCTTTTAACTGGAAGGAAAAAATTCGAACGGGGTATTCGTGGGCAAATGTTTCCAAAAAGAAGATTTTGAATTTTTCAAAATTAAATTGCTTGTAACTTTTAAACTAAAAGGGAGCAAACGAAAATTCCAACGGGGCATTAATGGGCAAACGATGGGCAAACGTTTGCGAAAAGAAGATTTAAAAAATTTTAATATTGGGGAGTCAACGTGAAGTGGGCCCCCCAAAAATTGAATTGCTTGTAACTTTTAAACTAAAAAGGGGCAAACGAAAATTCCAACGGGGCATTAATGGGCAAACGATAGGCAAACGTTTGCAAAAAGAAGATTTAAAAAATTTTAATATTGGGGGGCCAACTTCACACGGCTCACGACCGAGCGCCGTTGAAAGCCAACGCTTCCGCGGCTCAGCGCACGCCCGCTGCGCGCTCTGATTGGCCAGTGTTTTTCTTTAATAACTCAAAAACGAAGCTTCAAACGACATTTTAGTAAAGGAAAATGTTGTTCAGAATCACCCCAGCAACCCCCAGTTTCCGGGAGTTACACAAGTTACGGGAGATCCTGTATACATTTTCTCACCGATCGTCACGATTTTTTTAAGTGAATTCAGTTTGTGAGTAATGAATTTATCTTTGTTCGGATAATTACTGTCAGTCACAACAGAAGTGTCGATTACCAGGTGCGGCCCATATTCTATCAAACTCGCTGTTTTCTTTTTGCAGTTAAAACAAGTCTTTTCAATTGTTATACAATCATCGATTGCTTCTTGTATTAGATGTAGACCACCGCAAAGAATCATATCAATGTTCACGTCTAATAATTGAAATTTTCTGTCATTAACATATTCCCAGGAACATTGAATCTTATAAGAATGACTTGGTTCTTTTTCAAAAAGAAACTGAGCTAAATGAGCAGCATTGCATTCAGCAACAAGGCGTTTTATATTTCTCGTGCAGGTCTTAAGAGTGTTTTGAAAAATTGGAGTCATTAATAATATCTTAACTCTTTGAACATAATTGTCTTTTGTTATTTTTTTTTTTTTTTATTGCTGACATTTTGAGCAAGATTTATAATTGGACAATCGGATGACTGTACATTTCCGCGATAGATCTTATTTGCTAAAAGCCCACTGACAACGACCTGAAAAATCGAATCAAAAGCACACGTTTGCATTACATTTAAATTATAGTCATTTACACGCACCGGTCCCGAAATGTTTCCGTTTAAAAGAACTGGGATTTGACCTATTTTGGAATCTTTAATATAGTCCCACTCGGGGCAATCATCTAAACACGTCGGTTTGGCAGGTTTTCGTTTCGATAGATCATCGCTTTGATTGTTAGCTTTTATGTTTTTATTTAAACCTCTCCATTCTTCTTGAACATTCCATTCATTGTCAGCTGGAATATTTTCGTCAGTTGTAAATAGGTATTCTTTATAAATTATATCATTTATTACTTTCGATGAATCGAAAATATAATTATTATCGTTTATAGTGGAGTTTTGAGCATCGTCGAAACAGCTCTGTAAGGTGTACCGTACCATTGGAATCCTTTGACTTTCTTTTCTGTTTGACT